CCGGACCAGGGCACGAACCCGTGTCCCCTGCATCGGCAGGCGGACTCTCAACCACTGTGCCACGAGGAAAGCCCAGAACTTAAGTCTTTTATAAGACAGAGGTTAATTAATAATATTTTGAAAGAAAAGATACCTTTTCTTAAACAAGGATATCGAAATAATTTTACAATTCCATAGTCATCAGCTGTAACTAAAACTTGGCCAGTATAGTTTCCATCTACTGAGTTTATATCATTGATATCTGAATACTTGGGCCAAATTCCATTTACTTCAAGGCCTGAAACACATGTCCATGAAGCCCAATGAACACCTTTTATTTCTTCTTTATTTGTCACTTCTTTTCCTCCTAAAAATAAATCATAGTATTAATTTAAGAAGTTATTTCCTTTGATTTTTACTCAAGCATAAACTGTACTGAAAACATGGTAAACTCCAAAATTTAAATATCTTCTCCATCCTGTTAAAGGAGAATACATGAATAGGTAAGTGAATATAGTAAGGAAAAAAGAAAATTAAGTGCAAGGAGTTGTTAAAAAGCCACTACCAAAATTATGCTGATTCAGAGACATATAGATTTGATGATGATGTAGCTTAGCAGGTTCATGCATGTGGACAGTAAAACTGAACCCTATTAAAATCATGCTACAGATCAGTCACAATGGGGTAAGCTAGAAGGAAAAGTAAAAGCTATACAAAAGTGGCAAATCAGGTATTGAAAAAGAAACCTAAGAAGATACAGGGTTGAGAAATATAACTGAAAGGATTGCAAAGGAAGGATGAGTGACAAGTAATACATTTATGTTAGGTAACAGGATTCAGTCAATCTTCATTACATACAGATTGTTAATGAAAACTTTTGGAGAGATGCATTAATTTAAATATTCAGCTATTCTTGTTAAATAAGTTATTTTAATATAGTGACTAATTCACTAAGCATCATACTAAATAAAGGGCTGAGAGATAATATTTTGATGGTTCTGTTTTTATTCTTCTCTTTTTAAATCTTTGATAAAAGTTCTGTTTTTCAAAATTAGTTTGTTAGCTATATTATTAATATTTGCAAAGTCTGAGATAACAACAAAAACCCAAACAATTTATAACCAGACATTTGTATCAGTTGTATTTAGTTAATTAATTGTACCCATTAAAAATGGCATTTTGACTTTCTAATATACACTAGGACTTTACCATATACTACTCATATGGCATGGACTTCAACATAAAATAGGTCTTAGATCCTCCAAGCAATTAAGTTTTAATTAAGAACCAAAAGGATTTCAAATGATAAGGCAGCCATAGAGAAAAGATCACAATGCCTGAAATATTAGCTTGTATCTTCTTTGATTTCCTATAATCAAATGTAACTTACACTCTGCCTCTAATGAAATTCTAAGATACTTTAAAGGAACTAAAAATCTACAAATTATAAATAATTTATAGGAAATTTTTACCTGGCATCCTATAAAAAAGTCTTTTACCATTCCCATCATTTGTTTGTAAATATCTACTGTCTGAGGACCAGTCCAAGTGAGTGATGAAACTAAGTGATCCAACACATTCCCCAAATTTTTTATAACGCTGAGAAACTCCATAAATATCAACTGAGCTGTCATTGCATCCAACAGCAAGGTAAGTTCCATCTGGTGAATATTTTAACTCATGAATTGCCTCCTTCCGATCTTTAATATGTACAACTTCCGTCATATCTCTGTAAAGAGAAAAAAAATGAGACCACACACAAAGAAGTCACTACAGAATTAGTTCAGTTTTCAAATGTGTCTAAAATGACTGTGAGGCTGTATCAAGTATTTATAAACCATAAAACAAATGTAAATGAGACAAGTAGTATTAACTCAGGAATAATTTTGCTGAACAGAAATATATGAGGACAATATATGCTGGAAGAGAAAAATGCTAAATTTCAGTTCCTAAATTACTTAATATTAAGTAGTTCAGAGATTCATACTAAATTTCTGGAGTCATACAATAAAGGAAATAAAGTCATGGATTTTTATGATGAAGTTCCTTATAAGTACTGAGTTTATGAAAAATGCTTAATTATAAAAGCCATGATTTTCAAATTAAATTTTTGTAATGAAGCAAATGCACAAAATTGCATCCAAGAAATAAATAAAGGAGAAATTGATTTGTATTATTTCAGTAATACATTTGAATGTATATCTTTATATAGATACCACTAGTTACTTTTATTTCAACCTCTTTGACCTTTTTTAATAGAATACAAATTCTTCCCAATTAGCGACCATGTCAGCCAGCAAAGTTAAATATTTTTAATGATGCCTTATAACTGACTTTCCAGAAAAATAACAGGTACTGGTAATAGCCATAAAAATGGGTAAACACTTAGTTAAACACTACTGAGTTTCCAAACATGTGGAGTTGGTGGAGAGGTGGAGAAGAGATAGGCAGCAAGGGAGAAGGGGCAGGAGGAAATGAGAATTCTATTTCTAACTAGTGCCAGGGACTTTTTCCAAATAAAATTTGCATTACCCATCTGAAAGGTTATCAATAGATAATTTAAGAATAAAAGCTTAAATGGTTATTTCCCAATTTTTACAGTTTCTAAATGGACAATTTAAAGCAATCAAACTCATATTTCTTTCAGTAACATTAAGTATTTAACTGTTTTAGGCACATGACGCACAAAGATGAACTCATCTTCTGTGAGAGACAGAGATAAAGTAATTATACTTTATAATTGAGAAAATGTAGTGAGTGCTCAAAAGGTTATGTGTGAAGTTCTATAAGAAACACTGAAAAATGGTTAAGACTAAAGGCAGGGGACTTCCCTGGTGGAGCAGTGGTTAAGAATCTGCCTGCCAATGCAGGGGACACGGGTTCGATCCCTGGTCTGGGAAGATCTCACATGCCAAGGAGCAACTAAGCCCACGCACCACAACTACTGAGCCCATGATATAGAGCCTTCAAGCCACAACTACTGAGCCCATGCGCCACAACTACTGAAGCCTATGTGCTTTAGAGCCCGTGCATCACAACTACCGAGCCCACATGCCACAACTACTGAGCCCACGTGCTGCAACTAGCCACCACAATGAGAAGCCCACACACCACAACGAAGAGTAGCCTGGCTCGCCGCAACTAGTGAAAGCGCACACACAGCTACAGAGACCCTGCGTGGCAATCAATCAATCAATAACTAAAAGACTAAAGGCAGGAAGGGACCAAGGAAGAGTGATACCTATTTGAGCATAAAACCTGAGGGGCTGGCTAAGTATAAAAGATTGAAGGTTTTCCAGAAAGAAGACACAGCATGAGCAATGCAAATACATGGCACATTTGAAGAACAGTAGATAATACAACATGGATACAAGATAAGTGGGAAAAGCAGTGACTTGATGGGGTTAAAGAGATAAATTGAGGACAGTGTGTAACAGATCTGATACATTGCCAAGGAACTTGGGCTTTACCCTGGTGTTAATCATATAAAGAAAGAAACGAAAATCATCCCCTTAACTACAAAAGGGAATCAGAACAAAATAAAACAAAATAAATGAAGGGAAAAAAAGTACTTTTTAAAAGAGCTTTCCTGGTCAACGTCACTTTTGCCTTAGACCCTGCAACTTGCAAGGTCCTCTTCCTAAGCACAGAATGTAGCTACTTCTACCTTTCCCAGTGACTTCTTCCTTTCAGTTTTAATTTAAATCCATGCATCTTACCTCCCCTTCTTCATACCCATTCATCCATCCATCCACTCAGCCATCCATCAGTACATCCAGCCATTCATCTATATCTATATGGAGCAAGACTTTTAAGAAAACATCTAAGACACTATTTGAAAGCTTCTTTTTTATGACTTCTTTATTAAAATATAATCATTCCAGTATCAATCATGAACATTAGTTAAAATGCTCCTGGAAAATTCTTCAGAATTATTTTGGTATTTTTTTTACAGCTTTTTTGTTCTAGGGACTTAACTGCTCCCAGTTAACGAGAGAAATAAGTGTGGATATCTGAGGTTGTCTCTTGCTTTCTACCACTGTGGCCCTGTCCACCAACCAACACACGCACACAGAGAAGAAACCAACAGTGATGGAAAGAGATTCTGATTGACTGGTTTTATAGTATGTATTATGTTATTACATCAACACTATGAATTATAACTATCTTCTCTGACAAAGTTTCTTTGACAAATTTACAGGTAAGAAGACTATTATTAGATGAAAATGTACTGATTTCTAAAAATTCTGAATTAAGTCTTCTGGGAAACTGGTATGCAAATTCTGTGATTTCTTTAAGAAACAGAGGGAGGTCAAAGCCTGGGAATACTCATACATTAGCAGTCTGTAACACATCACAAAAGTAAAAGTACACAATATTAATAGAGCATATATATTGATAGAGCATATAACAGAAGAACCGTTCCTAGGTGAAGGAGTTAGAGGAAACAGTCCAAAAGAAGTGGAGTTTAAACTTCATTCTGAGGAATTAATGGGACTTAGCTCAGCAGAAGACAGGAACTGGGAGGAAAAAGCCTACATTCCAGCAGAGCTAAAACTATGTGAAATTGCTGATGGCAAGAGAAAGCATTCAAGCTCAGCTTGAGAAGCCCAGTACAGTGGTACTGAAACAAGCAAAGGGGGCTTTGATGTGAGCAGAGTCTCGTAAGGAAGACTAAGGGAAAGTTATAAAAGTCCTCATACATCTAAAGATTTTTGGCCTTAACTTGTAAATATAAGCTAGGGTGGGATGAATCAATCAGATCACTAATCTGGTTCGAGAGTAAAAAACAAATTGAAGGAGTATAACAGCAGGATTAAGACCAATTAGAAGACTATTACAGATGGTGGTTGCTCAGACTTCAGAAAGAAGTGAAATGATCTGAAATATACAGTATTATACAATCTATACTATTATAGAGTATTTAGTATATGTTAAAGATATTATCATTCTAATCTTATTAACAAACATTAACTAAAATGCTCCTAGACAATTCATCAGGTAAGTAAAATCAACAGGATGTAGTGATGGATTATAAATGGTGGTTACCTCCTAGAGAAATGGAAATAAAAACAAAAATAAACAAATGGGACCTAATGAAACTTAAAATCTTTTGCACAGCTAAGGAAACCATAAACAAGACAAAAAGACAACCCTCAGAATGGGATAAAATATTTGCAAATGAAGCAACTAAGGATTAATCCTCAAAATATACAAGCAGCTCATGCAGCTCAATATCAAAAAACAAACAACCTAATCCAAAAATGGGCAGAAGACCTAAATAGACATTTCTCCAAAGAAGATATACAGATTGCCAACAAACACATGAAAGAATGCTCAACATCACTGATCATTAGAGAAATGCAAATCAAAACTACAATGAGGTATCACCTCACATTGGTCAGAATAACAATCACCAAAAAATCTACAAACAATAAACGCTGGAGAGGGTGTGGAGAAAAGGGAACCCTCCTGCACTGCTGGTAGGAATGTAAACTGATACAGCCACTATGGAGAACAGTATGGAGGTTCCTCAAAAAACTAAAAATAGAACTACCATATGACCCAGCAATCCCACTACTGGGCATATACCCTGAGAAAACCATAATTCAAAAAGAGACATGTACCACAGTGCTCACTACTGCACTATTTACAGTAGCAAGGACACGGAAGCAACCTAAGTGTCCATCGACAGATGAATGGATAAAGAAGATGTAGCACATATATACAATGGAATATTATTCAGCCACAAAAAGAAACGAAATTGAGTTACTTGTAGTGAGGTGGATGGACCTAGAGTCTATCATACAGAGTGAAGTAAGTCAGAAAGAGAAAAAAATATGCTAACACATGTATATGGAATGTAAAAAAAAAAAAGGTTCTCATGAACCTAGGGGCAGAACAGGAATAAAGACACAGACGTAGAGAATGGACTTGAGGACACAGGGGAGGGGGGGAAGGGGAAGCTGGGATGAAGTGAGTCAGTAGCATTGACATATATACACTACCAACTGTAAAACAAATAGCTAGTGGGAAGCAGATATAGCGCAGGGAGATCAGCTCAGTGCTTTGTGACCACCTAGAAGGGTGGGATAGGGAGGGTGGGAGGGAGGCTCAAGAAGGAGGGGATATGGTGATATATGTATACATATAGCTGATTCACTTTGTTATACAGCAGAAACTAACACAACATTGTAAAGCAATTATACTCCAATAAAGATGTAAAAAAAAAAAAAAATGGTGGTTAGAGAGAGAGAGGTATCAACGATAATGCCTAGGTTTTTGGCTTACACAAGAACATGGACAGAATAGGGCCCAGAGACAGAAAATCAATTTGGGAGGGGGGATGCTGGGTTCAGCTTTGGACATGCTGAATTGCAGATGTCTTTGAGATACCCAAGTGATGTTAAATAAGCAACTGAATATGCATGACTGGAGGTTAGAGGCGATAACAGGGCTAGAACTATGCATCTGGGATCATCAGGCTATGGGTAGTAACTGACGCTACAGGCAGGATGAGATTACCTAGCGAGAAAATACAGAGTAAAAAAGAGCAGAAAGCCTAGCACCTGAGCTTTGAGGGACTTCAATTTTACTGGATAGGCAGAAGATAATTAGCATATAAAGAAAATGGAGCCAGAGGCTGCAAAGACAAAGAGAATTAACATCTAAAGCCAGGGAAGAGAATGTTTTGAGAAGGAGCAAGTTGTTCAAGGGGTCAAATTTACTGTTGAGAATCAATTTAGATGAGAACTGAAAAATATCTCCTGGTTTTAGTTACAGGGCACTATTAGTGAGGGTTTTCCAATTTAAAGATGAAGGCAAAAGCTATATTGGAATGGGGGTAGAAAGTTGATAAGTTAATTGGAAGGAAAGAGAGATAGTAAAATAGGCAGGTTTTTGAGATTTTTACTGCGAAAGAGAAGAGAGTAGAGATGTGATATAACCAAAGAGGGCCTCAGGCTCGGGGTAGGAATTTTAAGATAAGACATATTTGAGCATGTTTTAATAGTGCTCTTGGTGGGGGCAGAGAGACAAAAACACCTTCGATGTGAAAAAATAATGGACATAAAAGAGTTACTTTTTGAAAGCCAGGAAACAATTTTCAGAACGTTATTACTCCCATGAAATGAGGCAGACAAAACATAAATATGTTGAAAAAAAATTAAATGAATGTGTGATTAGTTAGAGGAAAAACTGTCCTAATCCTTTTAAAGTTGATATAACTCAGCAGTGACACTCTCAGAAAAGACAACTGGCTAGCGACTGGTAGAATCTAAAATGGCAACGTTAATATTTTTACAACTAAAGTCTACCCCGTACACTGCAGGAAACCTTACTCCATCTTCAGCATAATTTATTAACCATGCTCACCAAGCTCTTCCACTGAAGTCTCCCTAATTACTTATGAGAATTAATTAGTGCCTCTGAAGAGTTTGATGTTGATAATACCATGCAGCCCACCACGAGCCAAATTTTTATATGTATTCATATATATCTTCTAATTTGAAAAATATTTGCAATTTTTCATTTCATAACACCATGATATTAGTGTTTCTTTTAATATAAAATTAACATTTTTATCACAAGGAAAAGAGACGTTCTAAGAAGTTACGATTTTGCCCTGACACATCACCTTGTACCCCAATTTAAGAATCAGTGTGTTAGTTTCTAATCTATGCTATGTTCCTCTAATCATAACATAACCACTCCTGTGAGGGCACTTTACTACTGCTATACTTATAAATTCTGCTCTATGATACAGAGAATATACACAGCGAATCAAGAAGAAACAGTGACCAGGTAAATTAAGAAGGATTAGGAATATTTTTGAGGGAGTTCCCTGGTGGCCTATTGGTTAGGATTCCAGGCTTTCACTGCCATGGCCCAGAGTTCAATCCCTGGTCAGGGAACTGAGATCGTGCAAGCTGTGCGACGCATGCCTCACTTACCCCCAAAAAAGAATATTTTTGAGTTGCTAAAATACTGACTTATTAGAGATAATTTATTCACCCAGTTTCTTGCATACAACAATTGAAAGGACAAGTAAATGTACAAACGAAAAAATAACAATCACTATTTTTAATGCATACCAACTATCTGATAGAAATTCTCAGGTGTTTTACATGCATCTTAAATTCTTGGTTGTAAAACAACCCAAATGTACTTAATGACACTGAATTTTACACTTAAAAATGTTTAAAATGGTAAATTTTATATTATGTATGTTTTATCACAATAAAAAATTAGATTAAGAGAAAATTCTCAGCATATCTCATTTCAGAAACCTGCCCCAGAAAGAAGAGTCATACCTATAGCAGCTCAGAAGTACAAGAGAACATGATGTATCTGAAAATATGAAAGATGTTTTATACATGCTAAAAGAAAGAGACTGCAGTAGAAAGAAATAGGCTAGAGAGATGGGCAGGATATGTTATGTTAAGAATTATGGGGCTTCCCTGGTGGCGCAGTGGTTGAGTCCGCCTGCTGATGCGGGGGACACGGGTTCGTGCCCCGGTCCGGGAAGATCCCACATGCCGCGGAGCGGCTGGGCCCGTGAGCCATGGCCGCTGAGCCTGCGCATCCGGAGCCTGTGCTCCGCAACGGGATAGGCCACAACAGTGAGAGGCCCGCT